ATTATAAGATATATATTTAATATTAATTAGTACGCGGGTATAACGATCTCACCAACTATAATATATATAAAAGAATATATATAGCCTTATACATCTTTAGCTAATTAATTTTATTATCATGGGAGTATATAATAATAATATAGTACCGCGGTGATTGTAGTAGCTCGCCAATTAGCTCATTAAGTACAGCTGAAAAGTTATAATATATATATATATATATATTATATAATTAAGTATATATCTTAAGGCCCAGATAAGATATATAGATATATATACTGAAGGACGCCCTGATTTCGTGTAAGTACTATACTTATATATATATTATATATATATCTTTATACTCATGAACGACGAAATTATCTATATATATATTATCACATATATTAATATATTGTAAATTAATAAACGACGTACTCGACTAATATATAATTATAATTTCCTAGTTTGTCTATATAATCAATTGACTATATTTAAAATATTGTGGCGGCCTGTTAAAATTAAATATGCCTTCAGAATTAATATTGTGTCAAGTCGACTCAGTCATTAATTGATGCACCTTCATGACAAATCTATCTTTGTTAATATAATCTATATACAACATGCAATATTTTTATCAATATCATATATTGCAAAACCTAATTAATTAATTTCGCAACTTGCAAGTCGCGCGGGTCTGTGAGTATATACACTTAGACCCAATACTGAGCTGTGAGTTTCATCTTTGCATTACCCAATCAATTTATTCATCCTATCCTGTTTGTCTATGGTGTATATACTAAAGCTCTTGTGGCTCTGTGTGAGGTATGGAAGAGCTCAACGTTCTAAGTGCTCTGTTGATCATTGTTGATGAAGTTGAGCTTAATTTCTTTTTTTACTAGCTGATGAATCAAAACTGGTTATATGCAGAGTCTGTAGGCTAAATGATATCAAGCTAAGCACAACGTTCCATGCATATCATAAGTACTGGTATATCCGAGAACTGAAACCCTGCTTCGGTACATCTCGTTGCAGATCATTAGCTACGTCGAGGCTTTAATTAGTCTTTAGAGCAAAAAGTATAATCAGGATTCAGGATTCAGGAATCAGTATACGTAATTCATCATGAATACTTCGGTAAATTCGTTACTGAAAGAAGCATGACAGGAACCTTCTAAATTTTAAAGTTTTTTCTATTTTCATGGGGTATAATAAACTGTAAACTTGCGTTGAAGATTAAAGCGAGCATTAATGGATACTTACGCCTAGAAATCATAAAGGTCAGCCTCGGTTAATTAATCTTGCTGAATTCTGTGTTTTCATGTTAGGTGTTCAATCGAAATCAACAAAAACATTTACGCTTTAGAGTTTAATACTGCGTATATTATTCTTTTTCACTAAAAAAATCTTCTATCGTAAAGCTCTGATCTTTTTTCGAGTAGTAGACACCTTCTTGTTGAGTCGCTAAATCCTTGTCAACAAGAACTTAAAACTCGGTCTAGCGAAACGTATGTACTATTTATATTTACAGGGGGTAGCTTGTTCAATAATATATTCGAAAATGGGTCTATAATCTTATGAGAATTAAGTCGATCTGATAATATTAGAAGTGATGTGTATAAGACATGAATAGATGCCAAATTTGATACAAAAAGTTGAACGTTTATTGCTTTTCCAACAGCTTAATAAGTCTTTGTAACTTGTAACTTGTAACTGTATTAAAAAAATCGACTCATATGACGTAATTAGATATTGTTAATTTTAGTTATAGTTTTTCCTTTCAACATGGCTTTAGCTAAAGACTATACCTGTCAAACTCTACATTAATACAACTGAGTTTTTAAATAATAATATCTTGCAAAGAAGCGATTCTGGACTGAATAACAATTGCTTTATTATAAACTATAACGTACTAGAATACATAACTATTTATAAAACAGCTGTAATATACTTAATAAGCTGTTATTCTCGGTTAAATGCATTATTATAAAGCACTAGTCCAACTTTAATTAATTAAGTTAAACTTTACTATTAAACACCTTTGGCTAATATTGTACCAAGTCAGTCGAAAGAATTTTTCAAAACATATATTTGCATATATGGACCATGCTGTTGATAATATTATTATGGGAGGGGTAAAAATTGCTTCTATTGCATAACAATACAAATGCTTTAAATAATATTATATAAATATATTTGGAATGGTCTGATGAACAATAAATATTCAATAACATGCAGCATGCAGCTTGCTATCCGTGATGAGTAGTACGATCAATTTAATATTAATTAAATGCACAATCATATTAGCTGAGAATGAGTGTTAGTATTAGACAACTATTATCATAATTCAATAACATTAATTCAATTCTATATCGCTTTAGCTGTAGATACTCAATACGTACACATCTCATAAACGAATATTACTAATTTTAGAGTTCAATCCTCTAAGCTGACATCAATAGCGTTGCCAAATATATTGATTAATCACCCATGAGCCCTTTTCCTAGATTAATAAAATAGTATGTCTTGCTAATTATAAGTTGTTTAGCTCAGATATCTCTGAGGTAATACATGGCTGTTCTAATTAAATTTTTTTCTCATTACATTATCGGTTATATATCGTAATCTGGTGATAAGACGCCAGCTATATACTTAAATATATTGACACCTTTGGTTGATTCGGGCACGAAAATGACTTGAATTGTTTTAGTTGGAAATAAACCAGTTATTATAAAGTAAATCAATCTTTGAAAATAGCTTTATAATTTTCAAAAAGTCTTCTCCTTTATATGAACACATTTTTAGTGTCATTATCGAAGTTTTAAATTTCATAATTTTTCAACTTTTAAAACTTGTCAATGTCAGATTTTTTTATTTTAATCAAATATTGAATCAGTTCATAATAATTCAAAAAAAATTTTTGCTTCAAATTATATACATAGATAGATAGAAATTCAATAAATTAATATACAGTCAATTTTTCTTCAATTTATTATACCATAGCTTTGATCCAGAGTATTTATAATTATTTTCATTTAAAATGATTACGTAAAATTGGCTAGCTATAACTGATCTAAGGTATATATCTTTAATCGCGAAGGACGACGCATGAGTGTTAATTCACACATAATCAATCAGACCTTTACACTTTGAATACCTCTCGTGAAAAATTTAATAGTACAAGCTATAAATATTTATATATATCGATGAAGATTATACATAGTTGAAGAATTACAAGGCTTACATGATTGGTACGTTTTTATGTCGTATACTATTACATACCGCAATTAGCAATCTATAGAAGATCTAGATTGATGTGCTTCATTAATCGCTCATTTGAGAATCAAGCTGTGATTTAGCATAAAAAGTGAAGTTCCATATTAAAAGAACTTTGTTCTTCTGTAGTATTGCTATAAATGCACTCTCTAGGAATTGTGCAGAAAAGTTTGGAACCAATGAACTGATTTTTATAACGATCACGATACTTATGGGGATTCACCAATTCGGAGATATCAATCACAAATGACAATAAAGATAAGCTGGATGTGTTTAATTCAAATCGAATTATTCAGACACTTTGGGTGTAGTTTTGATAGACTAGAAAGTCACATTGGTAGAGAGTGTATTGCATTTCTTAATTTTCACTTTCCTCTGTTGTTTTCCCCCTGTTATTTTGTGCTGAAATCCTTTGGCTTTTGGCAGCTATTTACAAGCTTTGCCCCGGATTTCGTCTTTTGATTGCTCTTTGTCAAAATTTTAGGAGGGCAAAAAGGATCCAAGTCATCCAACCCTTAAACTACAAATTCTTTCCATCTTTATATTCTTTTTGAACTTTTATATAAACTTTTGAAAGGTTTTAATCTATATTAATTCATATATTATCAGTTTAGAACTACGAAAGAAAGGAATCACAATCACGCAATTCAAATCTTACACTAAATTAGAACTAATTGATTTACTTCATTAATTTTGATTCAAATTCTAATTTTGCCACAAAATTTAACAATTCAAGAAATAAAGAACATTTTAAAAAGCATAACTCAATAAGATAAACATGTCGTAAGTGGAATTTAAGGCCCATTGAAAGTTGGAGATAACAAATGTACTAACAAAGCTATAGATACGCATCAAAAGCTGCCGAATCAGGTCCAACAGGAAGTGAAAAACTACCAACTCCACCACAAGTTAAACAAACTTCAGATCCATCTGGTAGCGTTGAAACAGTTGCAGAAGATGCAAAGAAATCAGCATTAGGTGGGAAAGCTGTAGTTGAAGAAAAAGTTGAAGATTTGAAAAAGGATTTACCAAAATTAGGGGAAGAAGCTAAAAAAGCTGAAAGAGAAGCTGAAAAGAGAGTAAAGAAAGCTTATGAAGATAACAAAGGTCCAGTGTTAAACTTCATCAGAAATGTCAGTGAAAAAGTTACACAAGGTGTTGATTATGTTTTTGGTAAAGCATCTTCAGGGGCTGCCACAGCTCAAGAAGAATTAAAGAATCCAGTTGTTGCTACACAAACCGTTGTTAGTATTGGTGCTATTTCAGCTGCTATTGTTGCTATTCAAGACCGTCAACGTATCTTTAGATTCAAATCTGATAATGAAATCAGTTTATTATTAGCTGCTGTTGCAGGTTTTGCAATCTTAGATGGTTACCTATTCTCTGTCTTTTATCCAAAATATAAAAAGAATTAGGATTCTTCAAGTTAAACTGATGATTTCAACAAACCAAGAAACATATATACTATAGCAAATTTTGTGATTTTTCTTTTTGAATTAATTAGTCTGTTCATTTTCATTATATTCTTTTATTTCTATATATCAATTAAACAATATCAAAGGGCGTACTATCAATCAGGATTTGTCCACCTGTAGGATCACTTATTACCAATTCCTTATTGAAGTTGGTATATTGTTCTTTAGTGTAAAATGAGGAAATTTACATTATTAGTCCTCAAGAGAGAAATACAAATTATAGTAGTTACATACGTACTCTAATGCGAAACTACTCACAAGATAAATATACGATAAGAAACAACAATAGTTGTGAGTCGTGACATCAAACTAGGAGGTTAAGATAATCACGTGCGAGTTCTCAGGGCTACGAGAAACAAGTAAAACTTCCAAACACCAGACCTAAATCTGCCATTTTTCCATGGCTCAAATTAATTTTTCACGAAAATCTAGTGAGGAAGTGAAAAAAATTCAAAATTTATCGTAACCAACCTACAGACTCTGCGAACCCTGGAATCTTTTAAAGAATATATTGTCAAACCGTCGATTGAAAGTTACCTCCATCAACTTTCCACGAACAATCCCGACGATTATAATCAATTATTATTAAAATGTCTGCTCCAGAAGCTCCAAAGAGAGGTGGTTTTGCCCGTAACAACAGAGGCCGTCAAGGTAGAAGAGGTGGTAGAAGAGATGGTGAAGAAAAAGGTTGGGTTCCAGTCACCAAGTTAGGTAGATTAGTGAAAGCTGGTAAAATCTCAACTATTGAAGAAATCTTCTTACATTCTTTACCAGTCAAGGAATTCCAAATCATTGATACTTTATTACCAGAATTAAAAGATGAAGTTATGAAAATTAAACCAGTCCAAAAACAAACCAGAGCCGGTCAAAGAACTAGATTCAAAGCTGTTGTTGTTATTGGTGATTCTAACGGTCATGTTGGTTTAGGTATCAAAACCGCTAAAGAAGTTGCTACTGCTATCAGAGCTGGTATCATCATTGCCAAATTATCAATCATCCCAATCAGAAGAGGTTACTGGGGTTCTAACTTGGGTCAACCACACACTGTCTCAGCTAAAACTACTGGTAAATCTGGTTCAGTTTCAGTTAGATTAATCCCAGCTCCAAGAGGTAAAGGTATTGTTGCTTCTCCAGCTGTTAAAAAATTATTACAATTAGCCGGTGTTGAAGATTGTTATACTTCATCTTCAGGTTCTACCAGAACTTTAGAAAACACTGTTAAAGCTGCTTTCGTTGCTATTGCTAACACTTACGGTTTCTTGACTCCTAACTTATGGAAAGAAGCTGAATTACCAGCTTCTCCATTAGATGTCTACGCTGATGAAGCTGCTGCTGCCAAAAAAGCTTACTAGATTATTTCACTATAATGTATAGTTAATGCGATTTTGTCTCTTTATTAATATAAAATATTATTGTAGATTTCTACGCGTAATTAATTCAAATAACAACAAAAAATATAACTGCAAATCAACTTGCAGATAATCAACGTTCTTAATTTCAATATAATACAGACATAATTAGATACTTTTTTTTATAAAAAATAACCCTTAAAACTTCTAATTAAATAAACATTAAATTCTAAAATCTTAATAACCTTTTCCTTCCACACATAACATGATTATGCTTCTTCTTGAGGTGGAGCTTGTTCTAAAACTTCATCTTCTGGAACTGCAAATTGTCTTTCATCTGTTTTTTCCCATTTCATTGAAGTTGCAGGTGGACCTGATTCTGATTTACCATTTGGATGTTTGAATAAACAATTTGGATTTTTACAACTTGTATCAAAACGACAATTTTCACTAATTGGATGTGAAAAGAAACAATCAATTCTAGTACATTTTTCACCTTCACGACATAAAACTGGAGTACGTGCATGACGGAATTTACAAAAACGATTTGTACAATTCATACCAAATTTACATGCATCTAATGATTTCTCAGCTTGTTGTGGTTTAACTTCTTTAATTTTTGATAATGATGAATGTGCCTTTTGACAATTTAAATCTTCACATTTCAAATTTTGTGGACACCATTCAATTTGAATAACTTTAGCATCTTCATTAGCTGGTGTTGGATGACCAAATGGACATTGTAGATTTGTACATAATATACCAAATTTACATAATGAAATACCGGCTTGAGCTTGTAAATTTTGGGAGAATTGTTGCTTTTGTTGTAATTGTCTTTTTTGTATAAATTCATTTCTTGTTTTTTCTAATTCTGCAATCAGTTCATCATCTTGACCTGGATGTAAGAAACTGCATGTACCTGGAGCATTTGGACAATTTGGAAATTGAAAACATGGTTTAGTAGGATGAGCGTATTTACAATCTTTTGAATATGGACAATGTGGGAATTTATGACAACGAAGTTTCTTGTTTGGTCTTATAGCACCTGGAATACCTGATAATTCCATAGCTTTTTGTAAATTATCAGCATTCTTCAAAGCAAAATTTCTTGGAGCACCAACACCATTTTTAAAACCACGAGCACCGACACCACTTTTATTTGGATATATTCTACCACTAAGACCAGCTGGTTTGGTAGGTATGCTTCTGCCATTTGTTGTATTATCCAATATTAGATCAGTTTCAGAACTTGATAATTGTTCAGTACCAGAACTTTGTGGAGCAGATGAAGCTTCAGCAGAAGCGTCATTTGAGGTACCTGCACCATTAGAACCACCGTTTTGGAAGTCGGACAGAGCCTTGTAGGCATTACCAATAATCACTGGGACACTTGGAGCATCAAATAAAGTTGTAAGTTCACTTGTAGTTTCCTCTAGAGATTTGTTATTGGAAATCAAAATTGTGATATACTCCGAAACTTCTTTGACATCGTCTGTGAAATCTTGAGCTTCTGTGAGCTGTTTTGCAACGAAACTTTTGAGCTCTTCTTGGACCACTTGATCTAAACCTGACATCTTATTCTTTTATAGATTTTTTCTGTATAAATTATCAGTCGTTTGACACTCCGATATTACACTGTTTTGAGTTTTACAAAGCGCATCTTTAACTTTTTTTTGCCTTCAAAGAAATTTTCAATTCCGGTTAGCGCAGCACCGGTGGAGATGAGAAAAGTAAACAATAAATTTAAATTTAAGAAAACACATCAACAAATTCTCTCGTTTGGGAACTTTGTAAAGGGCAGGTTGGCTAGAGTCAAGAAGGTATTGAAAAGAAGGATATTTCCTCAAGAAGAGAGGCTTAAAGAAATATTGAAGTGCTGCTGGACAGTACCTTTGTTATAATATTGTGGTTTTGATTATACTGATTACCCTTGTTTCATTAAGATCAATTGATAAGTTTAACAAAATGGAACCCACAAGCTCACAAGGAGGAGCTTCGAATAGAAATTTGAGACCAGAGGTACCCAAAGAGACAGATAAATTACTCAGTGGTGATAAACAGGTGCGACAATATAGGTCGTTCATGTCAGCGGATAGTGCTGGTGATGTTTCATTTTCAGATCTACTGAATGGGTTACCCCATAGGCTGACAAGACATGGGTCGGTGATATTGGCAGAAACAGGGGAAAGAACTAGAAGGTTTACATTACCAGATCAAGAAACTGATGATTTTGATCCTGATGTCGAAGCCCAACCATTAATCGATAGACCAAGACATAGATCAACCGCTTTAGACTTGGTAACGTCATCGTTTAATGCTACAAAATCATTTTTAATTGAGAATAAATTTGTTATAAAATGTTCAATTGCATATATGCTAGCATCACTGGCTGTTTATAATACAAGATTCTCTCAATTTCTTGGTAAGAGTGATTCAAAACATGTTGTTGCTACAGTGGCTGTTTATTTCCATCCTTCAAGAACATTTGGTTCTATGCATCAAAGTTTAATATTTGTTGTCACATCAATTATTTTCAGTTTTTCGGTCTCATTAATTACTACATTCATTTCAAGTCAATTTCACCATAAGGGATGGGAAGAAGTTGGTTCAATTATCAATTTATTATCTGCTTCTGTTTCATTAGGTATGGTATCTTATATGAAACAAAAAATGAATCACCCAACTTTCAATACTGCATGCTCATTATCAATTCTTTCGATTGTATCTGCAATTGTCAAAGAAGGATCACAAAATGGTGGTAACTTGCCATTAAATAGACTGTTTACAACTTTTAAAATCATCTGTTGTGGTTCGTTACTGACAATTTTAGTATGTTACATTATAATACCAACTTCAGCTACTGCTAAATTGAAAAAGGATTTAAATGATAGCTGCTCATTAATGTCATCATATTTATCAAGAATTGAATCTGCTTTCATTAATCGAAGTGATGGGAATTCCAATGAGATTAATACATTATCTTCCAAGATCAAGAAGAATACAACAACTTTGAATGGATCATTAGAAGAAGCCAAATATGAACTTTATTTAGCTGGTAGAGAACAAGAATATCGTCTCTTTAGTAATTTGGTGAGATCTGCTCAATTGTTAAATAGTCAACTTGGTGGTTTAAAAGGATCAGCTGAAATGCAATGGTCAACATTAGAAGACGATAGGTCAGAGTTAAATTCTTCTGCAAGTTCTGTTAAGACAATAAGTTCTGATTCAGATGGGAATAATTTGCATATGAGCGAATCCACAGCTACATTGGATGAAATGGCAGCTATAAATCCAACTCAATTATTTGATTTATTTATTTACTATTTAGGACCTTCAATAAGATCTTTCTCATATACTATCCGTGGTGTTCTTGATGGTATGCCATTTGAAGATAAAGAAAATTATCCTACAAAAGAAACATATCATTATAGAAAAAGTTTAGAATTAGCAAGAGATTTATTTACAAAAAAATATGAACGTGCTTTAACAAAACTTTATGATCAAAAAATCTTTAAAGTCCACACAACTATTGAAACAAAGATTGATGAAGAGGAAGTTGCAGCTAGTTGTGGTAATTTTGCATCCTTACTTTCACAATATTCAAAAGAATTAGATAATTTTGTTAGATTATTAACAGAATATAGTGAATTATTAGAAGATAATCCAAGATCGTGGAATTGGCTTAAATTTTGGAAACGTCAAGAAGATCGTACTAATTCACTAATGAAGAAAGTTCCAGATTTAAATGCAGCTTTACATAACTTGAACGTAACAATGCAACAACGTACAGATAGAACTGATCAAAGAAATACATATAGTTATAAAATTTGGAAATTTTTCAGTTTTTTCCGTAAAGTTGAAGTTCAATTTGGTATCAGAGTTGGTCTTGGTGCTTTTGTCCTAGGGTCATTAGCTTATTTACCTAAAACAAAAGTACCATTTATGGAATGGAGAGGTGAATGGGCATTAGTTACATATTGTATTATTATGAATAAATCTTTAGGTGGTACTACAATGACTGTCAATTGGAGAATTTTAGGTACTTTTATTGGTGCATTTGGTGCATACCTGATATGGACTTTATCTGATGGTAACGTTATTGCACTATGCTTAACCGGCTGGATTTTGTCATTATTTTGCTTCCATATAATTTTGAATTGGAAAGATAACAATGCATATGGTAGATTTATCTTGTTAACATATAATGTCACAGCTTTATACAGTTTTAATATTACCAGACAAGATGATTTAGAAGATGGTGATACTGATCCAGTTATTCGTGATATTGCTATTCATAGATTTTTCGGTATCATTGCAGGTGTTATTTGGGCGTTGATTATGACTGTTAGTTTCCTACCAATAACTGCTAGAACTAGATTGAAAAGAGGATTATCTTTATTATGGTTGAGATTAGGGGTTATATGGAATATGGATCCATTAGGTGCTCAAGATGATGTTTTAGTTGGACTAGCAGATCAAGGTGGGATTAATCAAGTGATGAGAGAATTAGAACTATTGTTGAAACAAGCACCAAAAGAAACAAGATTAAAAGGTACGTTCAGATTAGATGTTTATAAAAAATTAATGAAATCAACTGAACGAATTATTGATTCTTTTCAAAATATGAATACTATGATTCAAGTTGAAACAAAATTATCTGAAGATGAATTAATTGTCTTGAGTTATACACAACAAGAAAGAGAAGAATTACAAAATAGAATTTTCTTAATTTTTTATATGATTTCTTCTTCAATTACTTTAGGTTTCCCATTACCTGCTAAACCAGCTTCAACTGAACATGCAAAAGATAGAATCATGGTTAAGTTAGGAGAAATAAGAAATAAAAGATTATTATCAAATGAAGATTATGTTCTGTTATATTCATATGTTTTGAATAGTAACGTTATAACAAGGGAATTGGATAAACTTATCCACTTATTAGGAGATTTATACGGGTTGGTTGATAAGGAAACTTTTGAAATATGAAGTTTTTCAAAAACACACGATCTTTATTTTTAGTCATTAATGCATTAATTTTATTTATATGATATATATAATACTGTAATGTTATACCGTAGATAAATAATTGTCAACAAGCCTTATGAATCTTGGATTTGTTATTTTAGAACCAGGTTTAAAATCAACTGGAGATAATGGACTTGGAAGGGTCTTTGTTAGTAAAATTATTTTCCAAAACGTGATAGATTTCAATACTCACTTCTTAACAACATGTTCAACATATAAATTTTCATAAATTTCTTTCAATACATGTTGTAAATGTTGAGTTTTTGGATCACTTATTATACAAAATCTTAAACCTGATGCACTTTCATAAAAATGTGCTCTATATTTGGCAGTTGAATATGAATCAAGTGTATTTTCCTCTTCAAATCCATCTGTTAATTTTCTTGCAATATTTCTCAAAGAGAACAAAGCACCAAATAGCAATTTTGCAGCATCTTCACTATTTTTTGAATTTATTGATCCACTTGGAAGGAAATCATTTGTATGTTGTTGTATAACTTGTGTCCATTCTCTATCATATATACAATTACCTGAATTTCAAATGTTAGTTTATGATCTGAGCCATGTTTTTCTTGTAAATAACATACAATGTCTATCAAATATCCAGAATGAGTATATGGTCATCTTGTTGGTCCTGTTTATGTTTTTGAAATATTCACCACATGAACTAGTTTTGCTCTATATAATGAAAACGCCAAACATAGAAATATCAGAATTTCGCGGAGATCAGTAACAAAAAGTGGTAAACGCCACATCATACAAATTTCGTAACTACATCACATATCTTATAAAGATTTCATTCTATAAAATTAACAAACAATACAAAACTATGAGATTATGGAAACAATATTAAAAGCACAGACAGAGACAGAATATTTCAATGAACCAGTTTTATTTTGATTTGAATGTTTGTGGAAAGTAAGTGGTGAATGATTGTAAAAAAAAAAAACACACGATTAATGATTATTTAAATTGAACATATTACACATGAACTTTTTTCTTAAAATATATTTGATTTCTTCTTTTTTTTGATATATAATGTGATTCTTATTTTAATTTATAATTTGATTTATCGATAAAATTGACAAAATTAGTATATTAATTCATAAATCCAAAAGGTTTAATTCATCACCGTTTGATTGTTTTGGTGGGACAGTTGGTTGTGATTGAGTTTGTTGAGGCTGAGATTGTTGTGCACTGTATGATGGTTTAGCACTTAATGAAGGAGTTGAAGGTTTTCCTGTGTGTGCAGTTGAAGAAGCAGCTTGGAATAATGAACTAAATGCATCGTTCTTTGGTGCTTGAGCTGGACCAGTTGAAATTGAAGTGTTATAGTTTGCTTGTTGAGGTTGTTGAGCTTGTGTATTTGATGTAAATGATGCGAAATCTCCAAATCCATCATTAATTGGAGCAGCTGCAGGTTGTGGTTGACTTTGATATAGATTTGCTAAATTGTTTGTTAAAGATGGCTGTTGTTGTTGTGTAGATTGTTGGACTGTAGAACCTTGGAAATCACCAAAATCATCGTCATCATCATCATTGGCAGGTGCTGAAGAAGCAGCAGTTGAAGTGTTACCATTTGTTTGTTGAGAGCTTGAAGGTGTTGGTTCATCATCAAATGAAAATAAATCAACTTCTTTCTTTGGTGCAGGTTTTGGAACTGGTTTATTCAAACTTGCTTTACGAGCAGCAGCACGAGCACCATAATTTCTTGAAGAATTTCTTTTAACATTTGAAGCTTTTGGAATAATATTTTCATCATATTCTTCAAAATCATTATTTGATCTTGATGCAGCTCTTGTTTCTTCATAACGTTCACCATAAACACCACCATCACCGAAAATTCTACCTTCATAAGTACCAAATTCATCTGCACTAGCACCTGGAATGGTTGAAGCACCACCACCGGCAACACCTAAAAATTTCTTGGAGTTTTCTCTACTTTTCTTTCTTTCAGATCTTAATTGAGAATCATTATTTAATATTTCAACTAAAGTTTTAGCCTTGGTACGAACATTAATACCTTGATCTCTACCTTGAGAATCAATATAATGGAAAGATCTCAGCATTGTGATAAGACTTAAATTTGCTCTTGCATCATCAACAAATCTTTCAGAACCATTTTTGAGTAAATAATCTAATAGTTGTAAAGCTTTATAGATTTGACGCCATTCATTTGAGGCTTTTTCTGTAAATCTTCTAAATATCATACCAATGATTTCTTCTCTTTCTCTATAGTTGTAAGTACCAGCAGCAATTTTTTGCATCAATGTACTTGAAGCACCCCATGGTTCGTTATTTGTAGCTTCTCTAACTTTTGCTTCCATATCCGTGTAGTTGTACACCACATTCTGAGCTTTGCGCACATATGCCTTAACATCATAAAGGGAGATGTTGTTCAAATTCTTCTTTATATCATCCATTGTTGTAGTCTATTCAATGTCGGTGGCTTGTTTCAATGTTCTTTAAACCTTGTTCTATTTGAAATGAATTCTGTTGATGAAAATTCCAAAGCGTAAATCAACTCTTTTCGAAATGTGTTGTCTTTGATTTCTCACGAGGTTGATTTTGAGCTTTTTCAGGAGAAGCCAGGTTTTTTCCTTTTTTCTCGAAGAATCGTGTAGAACGGGTTCGCGGGTGCATTAAGCGCAATTTGAAGCCGATAAAGTACATTACAAAGAGGAAATTCTCAGTTATATCATATTGATATCATATTTATTTAATCTGGTATAGTTTTTATTTACAAATCATGGAGAATGTTGAGTTTAGTTGATTTCACCGGATTCTTCAATGGTGATTTTACCTCTGGTTCTACCACTTTGAGAACCGTAAGCTTCAATGGTTTTAACGGAATCGTAACCTTTGGTAACTTCACCAAAGACAACATGTCTACCATCTAACCATGGGCATGGGACAGTGGTGATGAAAAATTGGGAACCGTTGGTGTTTGGACCAGCATTGGCCATTGATAAAAGACCTGGTTTGGTGTGTTTCTTGACAAAGTTTTCATCTGGGAATTTAGCACCATAGATAGATTTACCACCCATACCGTTACCATGAGTAATATCACCACCTTGTAACATGAATTGTGGAATGACTCTGTGGAAAATTGAACCTTCAAAACCATAACCTTTTTCACCAGTAGCTAAAGCTCTGAAATTTTCAGCAGTTTTTGGAACAACCTATATATTTGTTAGTCTGGGGAACAAACTTCACTTTGATTAATTTCCAATAAGCAACTTACATCATCGTATAATTCAAATTCAATTCTGTCTAATTTTCTACCTATTCCAAAGTTGTTAATAATAAAGAAGCAAAAATTTAAGATCTGGGGCAACAAATCAATTTGAAACCCCCGAGGATGATTAATACTCACCATCAATTGCTGGGGTGAAGAAAACTTTTGATCCGTAAGCAGCAGCAGAGGATGAGAATAAACGGACACCTTGTGGGGCTTTTAAGAAAGTTCTTGATAACATTTTCAATGAAGTTTGTATTTAATTGAATCAATAAAAAGAGGTTGTGAACTATCAAAGTTCATCAAAAAGGTTTTTCAAAGTCATTGGGATTTTACAAGGAGATTGGTACACACAACAAATGCAGGTCGTTTTGGCAGATATATATGTAAAATTTAAAATCAACTTGTTATAAAATTGACTCTTAATCAATGTATTGATAGTCTCACTTACAATAACTTTAGGCTTAATACAGCCTCCAAAATACCAGTAGATAATTTAATTACGAATTTAGCAAATCAAGTACTTATATTATATTATTGAACTAGCTTAAAGCTTAAAGTTCAATCTATCCAACAGTAGCTCTCTCAGTGACTAATATTAGCTTTATAAGATGCTATTTTCAACTTATCTTTCACAATTTTAATCCACTTAACAAATTCTAAAAAGTCACCATCTTTCAACGCTTCATGTAATCCTGGTAAAACATCACCTTGGTAACCATTATCACGATCAGGTGCTAATATAATATGTTTCATCCAAGGTCTATTCTTTAAACCATCTTTGTGCAAAAATGTTCTATCGATTTGCTTAGCTCTATTACCTAGCAATTTGATGTTTATTGCAAGTTGAATCTTTTTATAAATTTTAAACCATGGATAATCAATTGAAATTTGTTTTTGTAATTCAACTTCTGTTTTATCAAATTCTTTGGCAGCTAAATAAAATTCCCCAAGAATGCTTTCTAGTTGTTCAATCAATTCATAAAGTCTATGATGTTTATCTGCTTGTTTATTCAACCAATCTTGTGGGATCTTGGACTTTATTTGGTTAAAAAATTTTGAGATTTGTAATGAATAATGTGCAATCTTATATTCAAAAACTTCATTTTCACTTATTGATAATGCTAAAAATCCAAAATATTTTGCTAAGGTGTTGTGTAATTTAAACTCAGGATCAACAAAATTTTTAATCCAATGATAAGAGTCATAGTTTGAATGAGTATTCAGAGGAGATTGTGATCCGTTATTATTGAAATAAACCATACAACTTGGTATACCCAAATGATGTTGGAAAACTGTAAAATCAGAACCAGCACCTAAAATATCAATAGAATTGTTACTTTGCTCTTTCCAATAATCATGTAGAGTAAAGTCAGAAGCATTGTCAAATGGAATATATTTACTAGATTCAATTAAAAAATGATCCAATAATGGATTTGAATCAACTTGTAATTTATTACCAATAACACCCATATCTAAATTCAAATATGAAATAACATTATTAGATAAATCTCTTTTATGATATTCACCATATTCAGTTGATCCCAACATACCAAATTCTTCACCATCCCATGACGCGACTACTATTGTTCTAAGTGGCTTCCATCCTTTCTTAATCAATTCACCAAATGCCCTTGTGATTTCCAAAAGAATTGCACTACCACTACCAGGATCACCAGCTCCACTTGTTGTCCATGAATCTCTATGATTCCCAATGAATACTTTTTCATTTAATAAACCTGGGATGACATATAATACATTTGTAATTGGTCTAATTTGGTAATCTTGTTCATTATAAAGATTGATCGTGAATTCTGATGGACCAGTTGAATAATCATAATCATCAACATCACCTCTCCACCCAAATTTAGAGCCCAATCCATCAAGTGTCTGTAATATTGGAATCACCTCTTTATAACTTATCGGAACAGAAGGAATACCTGGTATATAAGGACTAGGATCTTCTCTTTTACCTAGTTTAAAACTTGCATATCCTGGTGTTGTTGGATCACCAGGTTGATCTGTAAAATACCCCACGGAACCTCTTTGTATACTTGATGGGTTTCTTGCTCGTCCTTTAGGATAAGCTTCATATCCATTTTTAACAGTTACTTCACCATCATCATATGGATCAGTATAAATCAACACACCTATAGCACCGGCCTTCTCAGCATGTTTAACTTTTAAACCTCTGAATAGCTTATTGTAACGGATAATATGGATCTTGTCTTTAGTATCAACGCCAGCCTTCTTTAGTTGATTATAATCTTCTAAAGAACCATAATTTGCATAGATAAATTTAGCTGTAACATTACCGTTAGCAGAATATGCATGGAATGCTGGAATTACATTTGAATTATTAGCAGCTTTATCCTCTGGGAACTCATCTTCTTGTAATGTTGGTTCATAAATAATATCATCATCTGGGTTTAGTAGTTTTATTCCATTAGCGATATGTTTATTATACCAGACTTGATATTTTTCTTTATATGGTTTAAAACCAAATTCTTTAAACTTATCAAAAGTAAATTGTGTAAGATCATCTCCTTCTCCAGTAAGATGTGGTGAATGTGTATAGTTATAAAGATATTCACCAGCATTATTTTGATCAGCTAATGATTTTAAAAATAGTCTTTGAGTTTCCACTTTTGATAGTTTGGAAAAGTGTATTCTTCTATAATCACGACCCAGTGAAGTTCTGGGGAGAAAGATCAAATTGAATATCACAACAGCTAAAATAGCCCATACTAAGCCAGCAACAAATTTCTGTGTAGTTAACGATGGCCAGTTATCCTTAATGAATTCTTTAACTGATTCTATTGATGTACTGATGGCGCTCACTGCACTAGCGCTTCTAGCTCTATTATATTCTCCACGACGATTTGGACGGTTTGGACTTGAATTGTTGCTAGGAAGCAACGGTTGTAAGTCATCACTCATTATTGAAATTCTTTGTGAACATTTGACCCTCTTTGTGAGTTTTAAAGTTGTTGATATTGGAAAGATTTTGGTGATGTTTATTCGTTTAAATATCAAGTTCAAATTCGGTTTATCTGGAAATGATCAATGTGGCGCGCATCGATTCGTGATTATGTATATCGACAATTTACTACTGTTTATTCTGCAAATTCTACTTTATCTCTAGCATTTATTTACAATATTTCTAATTAGTTGGTTTCTTTACATCGTTATTTTCTAGCTCATCTTCAGCTTTTCTCTTTTGTTGATCGATTTCTTCAGTGGTTTCATCTTGTTTTTTCAATGATTCTGTTATTCTTTTATCACCAGTTACACCATTAACTGGTCTAAAATATGGTTGTGCACGCCAATATGGAATTTGTTTGTAAGCACCACCCCATAATTCTACTGGACCTGTAGTGATTTTATCTAATTCTGCAAAATCTGGCTTTTCGCTAATTTCTTTAACAATTTTTTCCACTTGAATGACAATTTCTTCAACATCATCAAAATTATGTTTTGGTGAAGATTTAGCAATTAATTCTCTTACATCTGTATGAATTGGTAAGAAAGGTCTTAAAATTTTGAAAAAATGTGATTTCATTGCAATTTTTGATGCATTACCTGGGCAATTTTTAACAATTTCATAATATTCTCGTACAAGTTTATCAACTCTTGGAAATTGTTTATCAATATTATCTTCTTCAACGAAAACACCTGGGTTATATAAATTACCTTCTGCACTCATGACTGCATCACATCCAATTTGATTTAAACATCTTGTGATATCTTCAGGATATAAGATATTACCATTTGCAAAAAAAACTGTATCTTTTGGTAAATTATCTCTCAAGTATTTTATTATTTCCCAATCAGCTAAACCAGTTTTTTGACCCTTTTGTTCTCTTAAACGCCCATGAACTGTTAAGAATTGTGCACCTGCATCTAGAACCATTTTAGCATACTCCAAAGTTTTTTCCTTCTCTTCGAAAACTCTTATTTTAGCAGTAACTGGAATATCTAATTCAGTATGTAATTTATTAATTAATTTATGAACCAAATCCCAATGATCCATTAAAAAGGCACCATAGTTCCCCTTTTTAGCAATACCTTGTGGACAACCCAAGTTTAAATCAACAGCATCACATTTACCAACAACATGTTTTGCAGCTTGTAATAAATAATCCGGATCATTTGCACAAAATTGTACAACTAAAGGTCTATCTTTTGATTCATCACCATCCCATTCAGACCACATATCTCTTCTATATTTTTCACTAGTGGCAAACAATTTAGCATGAAACATTGGTGTATAACATAAAGTAGCACCATATCTTCTTGAAAGAATTCTCCATGCTAATTCTGATTGATCAACCATTGGTGCAACAATTCTCTTTGGCTGACCAATGGCATTAAAAAGTTCTCTTCCTTGTAACTTGGTCATGACCGATGTAGTTGATATCTGTGGCTTGACAAACAAGTTTGCTGCTCTTGAATATACAGTGTTAATAAACGACACCTTGAACAAGTTTATTCTAGATCGAGATTTTTTGATTATAATTATATCGAATTTTGACTTTTGTTTGTATTTCTTTTGACAAATCGGTATAATTTTTTTTTATCGCCCGGTTCGGGAAACAAAGACGATGAGCTTCAGGAAGTTTAAAACATAAACTTAGCTACAATGGATGGGAAACTCATATAATAGATTACTAACCGAAACCTCTAAATTGTATAAATAATATATAATAATATAAACATAGTGCTATTCTTTTTGTTTGGCCATGTTGTGTATCTTTATAAGCCAACTATCATAAAATCAAATTAAATGTATGTATAAACAAATGTAAATCAAAAATGTAATTGCAAACAATGTAAATTCGTATAGATCATAATCAAAATCATAAAGAGCTCTTGAAAATCAAATATTATAAAAATGTATAGTATTATCATAATAATAACGAATAAAAAAAAGATGAAAACCAAAAAGAAACAGATTAAAATCTCAAAACACCAAAGAATTGAAAAATCTTATTGCAACAGACTTGAAAACCACAAATAATAAAATACATCATATAATTCTAACCTTTGGCATTATTGGCAGGTGATGAAGGTTGTGATTTGGAAATATGAATGGCTCTTGATTTTAAAGCTTGTGCAAATAATAAAGCAATTGGCCAAATTGGTGCATCTGCTAAGATTCTAACACCCATATATAAACCTCTTGAAGATAATCTTGCATTAGTAATGACATTAATTGTTTCATTAATATCAGTTGATGGATTCATGGCTTTTTTAGCTAATTCATCATCTAAAGATTGAACATCTAATGCACCTTTTGCTTCTAATCTTAAGAATTCTGCATAAGTTTTATTATTGTCATTAAAGATTAAATTATTTTCAATTTTTTTGAAAATTAATTCTGATCTTAACCATAATGTACGTTCAATTGCATTTAAATAAATTGGATTTCCTTGTGGACTATAATTTTGTGCCCATTTTTCAATACTTAATAAAAATTCTGCAATGATTAATAATGATGTGAAAATACAAGTAATGAAAAAAATTGGAGTTCTTATAGATGTCTTTTCTGCATCTTTAACAATTGAAACATAATCAATCCATAAATTGACAATATCTAATGCATAATTTGTTGCATCTTTTAAAGCTTCAGGATCATCATTTAATTCTTTTAATGATTCATTCATACCTTCCCAATCTTTTTTCCAAATTTTTTCAATAATTGGAGTTAAATGAATACATTTTCTAATTTTAGCAAATGATAAAAGTGGTAAAATTAATCTCATTATTGGATCTTTATTATAAATTACTGATAAATTTGAATCTTGTAAATATAAAACACCACCACTTTTAATATATAATGATTCCCAACTTTTAATTAAAGTTTCCAATACAGGTCTTGAATTCATTCTCCATTTTGTTGCTTTTATAACACCATTACAAGCATCAGTTGATTCATTTTTTAAATTTGTTCTTTCACTATAAATTTTTTCATGAATTGACATTAATAAAGATAATAAAGTTTTCATTTGAAATTTTTTATTTAAATGATCATCTTCAATTAAAATAAAATTATTCATACTTAAATAAGCCAAACAATTATTATAAGAATCATTACCATTTGATAATTCAATTAAAGAAAATTTAGAATCAATAACATAATGTTCTTTATTTAAAATTTCAACCCATTCTTGATAATTTGAACATTCCCATAATGATTCTAATTTACAATGAATACCACATTTTAAATCCATTGAATGTAATGAACAATCTAAACCAATTAATGAGGTAAATAAATTTGAAATTAATAATGCAGTATGACAAGTTCTAATTCTTGTTTGTGCCAATATAAAATAATTAAAATTTTGTTCTAAAATAACATTTGAAGAATTTTGTAAATTATCAATAATTGGAGGTGGTGTTATGAAATTTTCCAATGGTAAATTTAATGAAGTTAATTTAATCAATTCAATTAATGAATTCAACATAATTGTCATTGTTTTAGTAATAGATAAATCATTATTGAAAATCCCAATAAATATTGAAAGAACCATACTTTGATAAATCCAAATTGGTATATTTTTATTATTTTTAAATGATTTTTCATGTTCTAAGAATTCATGAATTCTAAATCTTGATATATTAAATAATAACATTGCATGAGTTGAATGGAACCCATAAAGTGCACCAATTGAAGCAATTGATAATAATAATGGATAATTTTCAATTGAACTTTTCAAAGTTTGTAAATGAATAAATGGAAAATATTTATTAAATTCATTCTTGTATAATGTAGTATATTGATTTAATTCATCTAATGAAGGGAATTGAGAATCTTGTAAATTATTTAAATTCATTATAGTTTGACGTAATTCCATTGTAAATAATTGAACTTGTGTATTTTTAATATCTTGATTATTTTCAATTTCCTTCTTGAATAAATCAATTTGTCTTGATCTAAATAATGATGGAATATCATTATTTGTAGAATTTGATAATGGTTGTTGTGGTTGTGGGTTTTGTTGTGGTTGTGATTGAACTGGAATATTAATTGATGAATTTGGTGTATGTTGTTGTGATTGTTGATGAATTTGTTGACCTTGTTGAGAACCTTGATATTGTGGACTCATTCCATTAATAGGACTTGGACCATTAATTTGATTAGTTCCAATTTGTTGATTATTCCCAGAATTTTGAGAATTTGCAGAACCTGAAGGACTAACACTTGGTATAAATCCAATTGAATTAAAATTTTTAGAATTTGATATAAAATTTTGTTCAAATGGTGTATTTATAAATTCTCCTAACCAATCATCTGGATTACTTGAATCTTCATGTATAGAATTTGAAGTATTTGTATTTGATAAAACATTTAATCGTTGATTAATTGATGAACCTGCATCATTTTGATCAGTACCAATTTCATTATTTTGTGAAGGAGATGGTGCTATTGAATTATTAAACAAGTTTAAATTATGACTTTGATGATGATGATGATGATTTCCTGAATTATGATGATGACCATGATGTGAATTTGGAGTATGATGATTTGATTTTGGTATAAATCCAGCACCACCACCAGCACCACCAAGATGTAAATATTCATTCAAGATTGGCATATCTATTAAATTCCCACCAGGGGTGAAACCAAATTGATAAGGTGTACTAACTCTTGAATTGAAACCATTTGAATGATTACCTTGATTTGGACCATTCCCATGACCATTTTGGAAATAATCATTTGGTTGAACATTAGAACCATTAGAACCAATACCACCATGTGAACTTTGAACATTACTTTGTGGATTTGATGATCTTGAATCTAAATGTTCACCATTTGAACCTAAATTTAAATCTAAATCATCAATATCATGTTGTAATCCTAATGCACCTAAATCAAATCCAGACATCAATGCCTTATTTGTCAATTCTTGAGCTGTTAATTGAGGTGTAGCAAAACCAACTTGATGAGGAGCTTCAGGTAATTCATGTTCATTATGGAATGATTCTTGTTGATCAAATTTTGTATATGACATTGCACTTGATGCACTAAAAGAATTATGACGATGTCTTTTTTGAGGAGGTTGTTGATGATGATGATTTTCATTATGATTTTGTTGATGTTTCAAATTTTCAGCATGTTTAAATAATGTTGAATGTTCATCAAAATTTGAATCTATTGAACTTTTACCATGATTAAAACTAAAAGTTTTCAAAGATGGAGGTTGTTGAGTCTCAGAAGTGATTGATTGAGTTGTTGTTGATGATCTTCGTCTTGATTGAGTGGAATTTCTTCTAGTTCTAGCAGGAACAGGATCTTCAGGTATGATTATACCAGATTTTGTTGGTAAACTAACTTCTTTATTACCATAATTTGTAATGATATTTTCATTTTCACCTTTTTTAAAATCTTTTGCATTTGTATCATTTGTATTTAATGAAGTATGTAATTTTTGTTGATGTCTTAAAACTAAATCTCTTCTTGCAAAGCAACGACCACATGCAGCACATTGGAAAGGTTTTTCATTTGTATGAGAACGTTCATGTCTTTTCAAATGTTCTAAACGGGCAAAAGCTCTTGTACAAGTTGTACAAATATGTGGTCTAGGTTTATCAGTTTTGATGATTGCTGATTTCTTAGGAATAGGTTCAAATCCATGGACAGATTGTTGATATTGTTTTGAAGATTTTTTAATTTGTTGTTGTTGATTAGTATTGAATATTGGTGATTGGGAAGCGGAACTCAAATTTTGATCATTTGGGGAGATACTTGATGCTGAAGATGTTGGTGTAGGCATACCTAACATGTGGGTATTGTAGTCTCTAGTTTAAAGCAATGATTTTATATTGAAAACTCTTGTAAGAGTCTTTCTTTCCTTTGGGATAATTTGGTGTTTGTTTTAGGTGTATATAACCTTATAGCTTAATACTTAAGTTAGAATCCAATAACTTGTTGATGAGCAGCGTACGACTAGACAGATGATGATAGTATTGAAGAGCAGCACTTTTGATGAATTTTTGGAACAGTATAAGGTGAATAGCACGAAAAGAAGGACTTTAAAACCAAAGAGATAACGATGTTTTAAAATTTCTGTATTAGAATTGCATTCTTTTTTACTAATTGTTTTTAAAAAAAGTTAAATTTTTTTTTTCTTTTCCGGAGCAGAAAGTAATTAAAAAAAAATTACACCGTGGGCAGAGCACTGGGCAAGCACGTAGGTAGAGCTGGGAGGACTTAGGCAGAGCTAGACAGAACGACAATCAACCCCAGACAGACATCAATGGGTTTACACGGCCAGTGGCAGCCAGCCGTCAGCCTTTCATTTTACACGGAGTGCTACGCAGGAAGTGATCAATTACAAGGGATCATAGAGAGCCGATACCTTATAAGCGTACGTACTACGTAGTTGTTCCTAGTAATGGTCCAAGGTTGACAGTTCTCTAGGGTTTACTTGTTCTGGTTAAATGGAATACGATAATTGGTGGTGATAGGCTATTTTGTTGATGGAGTATGCCCCTCCATGTTTAAAGTTTCAAGACCTTCGATTAACAATAAATAAAGTCAACAACATCAAAAGCTTTAACAATAGTAATACTGGTTATAATACACAGGTCCCTGCTCATATGCTTAATCTGTGTTTCATCACTTTGTCTATTCAATTGTTGCTACGTTTCTGCTTTCTCCAGGTTTTCAGGTCATTGCTTAAATTGATGACTTGACTTTCCCGAATCCGCTAATCTAAAAGAATTGGCTCCTATTGGTTACATTGTATACCCTTAGATTCTACAACAAGTAAACCGAGTCTGGAGTACCTATTGATGGACAACATTGAACAATGTCATGCGTACCGGAGGCCTACTAATACAAACTCATTGTTTAGGTTAAAAGGAATACGTAATGTCTTTACTTGAAGTTCATACGCTGGTAAAACTTGATTTAATTCTCATTTGAAGATCAAATTTTTGGTCATTTGAATACTTTTTAAAATTTCTTGATAAAGACAAGCTTTCCTGAACTTTAAACTGGGAAAATCAATTACGACTTTAAATTTATATACACGTGACTTAAAACGTGACTTGGCTGCCCTCGTATTATTCATTTTTTATGCACTTACAAGGACTTCCAAATATCATATGCCCTAAACAAAAAAATACTATCATCAACACCCAAACACCATCTCAAAATCAACATAAATAAAAATTTTAATCACTCTAATTTTTATACATCTTTACAACCTTTTTTTCCTTTTCTTTACTTTGTCCTAAAGTACCAATCCATCATAATAGACAGTACGTGGTTAAATTTTAAAGGTTTTAATTCAATTCGTGATCATTGATGGAGAGAATAAAATTGTCTCAATAAGAACCCGTTCGGATCGATTTATTCGTTTTGAATAAATTAATGATGAATGGGTGTCAGATGATGCAGATATTCTTTTGTTTTATGTATAGTTTTTTATAGTTTAATTCATTTGATATGAAGTTATGAATTATATTGTAGAATAATCTGTACGGTGATCACACAATCTAACCTATATAAAATACTCAGTGATAGATTGAACATACATGTATGTTGAGTCTTGACCTCTAACCTCAAACTTGAAATAGAGCGGCTCATACATTAGCATATAAATACATCATTATGCTACAATAACAATAACAATCATTCATTATTCATTAATTAATATGCAAATCATATATAGCTCATTATTTGTTACCTTTCTTCAGGACTTTTGTATTGTTTTTTTATAGTTTATCATGCATCTTTATATACCAACTGTTCAATCCTTATTTAACAATTTCAATCATTAAGTAACTTAATATTTTACCAGTTTGAGTATCATGTTACCAACAGTTTAAGTATCATAACGGTTCAATATCATTTGATGTAGCTTTACCACCGCTTAACAAGTTTATTATCAGTTGTTTACTTAAAGGTTTGTTCATTATAGTTGAACTCTTCAAACAACAATTTTATTTTTATTCACATGCCATTAATCACCCATTTATAACCCATTTAAAAACAAAAACACCATCATTTATGCTCTTGATTCTCTTTATCATCATCATCATTTCTTCTATATTCTTCTTCTAATTTTAATCTTTCCAATTTTTTAATTTGTGTAGGTGTTAATTTTTTAGCTTTATTAATTATATTTATTGAAGAATCAATAATTCTTGGTGTTGAATTTGTTAAAGTTGATGAAGTTAACCCATGTGCTATCTTATCTTTTAATTCATCTTCATGTTTATAATACATATAGTTTCTTAATGCCATGTTGTATGTTGTATGTGTATGGATATAAAGGGTATTTGATAACAACGTCTTTTAATCACTTTGGGGTGATATATAAACTCAAGTGACAGAATTAAAGGTATATATACCTTTATATCATTCCCCTTTCGAATTCAAAAATATGTAAGACATGATTTCGGTGCAGTAAAATCCAAGATCAATCATCAGATGTTTAAACAGTTTACGATTTTATCGTACGTTTTATTTCAAATCGATAAATTTTCTTAGTGGCCTTTTACACGCGCATTTTAGAAAAAAAAAGTCAGTTCATTTTTTTCTTTGTAAGACTAAATCTCGGATTTAATGTTTAGGAAATGTAGGCACCGGATATAAAGAAAAAAAAATACATATTCGTTTATTTATTTATTTAAGTAATTCAATCAATATCTAAATCTAACTCATTATTTCCGTTGGTTTTAGAGATCAAGAAATCTAAAGGTGTCATTAAATATTTAGACTTCAGAAAGAATGTATGTCCCAAGTTTTGATTCCCTAATATTCTCAGTTCATCTTCATCAACTTCACTTGTATTATCATCTTCATTATCACTATTTTGAACTTGTTTTTCAAATTGTAATGATCTCTTGCTAATATTACCATAGTTTTTGAAATTAACATAATTAGAAATAACTCTTTTACCTTTAGATTTAGGTCTTGGTGAATTTGTTACCTTTTGGTTATTCAAAACTTGATTGATGGAAATTGTTCTTAAGATTTTTCTTTTAACTAATTTCTCCTTTAATATTGAATTTTGATCTTCATGTGGTTTATTTTTCAATAATTTATTAATATAAGTATATAATTGAATTTTTTCATTCTTTAATGATTTAATTTCAAATTGATATTTCTTAATAACTTTAGATTTTTCATTAATTTGATCATTAATTTCATTTGTCAGATTCATTGATGAATTATCAGTTATATCATATTGTTCATTACTTGTTTCATTGTCATTATTAGTATCATTAAATTCATCTTCATCATCGTCTTCCTCATTAATTATTAAACTGTTTAATTCATCATCAGATGATGAAGCGCCTTCTTCTTCATCACTATCATCATCAAGATTTGTAAATGTATGAATTGGTTCACCTCTTGGTTCAGGTATTGAAGCTTCTAAATCATCTAATTTTTTGAATGTCGTATTTAACTTATGTTGTAATTGTGAAAATTCCATAGATTTTAAATCCAAATCATTCTTGGTAACTTCTAATTCTTGATTAATTTCTAATAATTCATCATTTTTTTGTTTTAACATATGTTCAAATTTTAAATGACCATTTCTCAATTTAAGAATTTTTTCATCATATTGCTTTTCATTTATTTTATAATTATTAATAATATTTTCATAATAACTAACTTCACCACTTAATTTTTTACTTAAACTTTTATTTAAATCTTGTAATTTTTGTAATGATTGTTGTTGACTAAGAATTTGTTTTTCCTTCTTTAATAAATCCAATTCCAGTTTTTCTTGTTCATTTAATGTTGACTGTGATTTCAATACTTCATCTTTATACAATTTTTCCAATCTTTTAACATCTGATTCTAATTGTGATATGATTTGGTTTTGTTGTTGTTGATTGATCTGATCAGGTGCGATAGATTTAGTCTTTTGTGGTGAAATTGTGATTGGGATGTTTTCCTTGTTTCTGTTTTCCGTCAGACTCATGATGATGTGTAATGTTGGTAAAGTAACTAGACCGAAAAGTAACCTAAGCAGCTAATTGACTTAATTTCTATGGATATGTTTCTATATGAAATCTAATTTGTGTTTGTTTTTTTGTATGTTTACTTTTCGTTTATTTTGATTTCAAGATACAAATTCGCGAATCGTTTTTTTGAAAAAAGCAGCCTATAAATTTTAATAGACAAACTGAACAATAAATTAGATTCGTCAGTTTAGTTACTGTCATGTTTTTTAGGATTTTACTCATAGCGATGTTATTGCTGGCAGCGTCTCATGCCATATGGCGTTCTTCTGTGTGTTATATTGTATGGTTTTACAATACCTCCTTCTCAATGGCTTATGGTCTCACAAATTATATGGTTGTTTATAATGAAATATCATGAAGATCAAATTACCAAACTACTTCCAATGCTTCATATCAGCAAAGCTATCAAAGTTGAATGTGGCTGATTTATATACCATATAACAACATTTTGTACATGCTTGAGATGAAGTATAATTTTTTTTAACCAAATTTAATATACATTTCCACACGTATCTACAATAATTCAACTTGTGTTTTGTGGTCATCATCATCATTTATTAATCTTATATATACGAATTTCTGGTGTAGTTTTAGCATACCAGACCGAACTATTTTCCAACTCACCAGGTTTAGTACATTTATCAACAATTTCCCATTTCAATCCGACATTAGTCAATTCTTTTTCAAAAACAACAATGGTTTCTTCATTTCTAATTGTTGCTGCTATAAAAGCATCTTTAACACCTTGCTCAAGACCTGTCCTTATACAATCAACCAAACTTGGAATCACTGATGAATCATATGTAACATCAGCTGCTAATATTGTATCTATCCCCTCTGGAATATGATCTATGCCCCACCATAAAGATTGACACTTAGTTTTGCTTAGATCTAGATTATTCAATTGGAAATTATAACCTAATGATTCAATTAATGTACTATCACCATCTGTAATTACCAAATCTTTCACTTGAAAATTTTCAGATAAGATGGTATATAAACTTACTAGTCCAGTCCCTGTACCTAATTCTAAAATTGATTTCCCAGATAATATATTCTTATAATTTTGAGACAAAAAATTATTTGATAAATATAAAGCAGCTTCCCAAGTTCTTAATCCTGTTGTACCACCTCCACTGATGACTCTTGGTGTTTCTTTGATCTTGATTTTGGTATCTCCAACTTTATAGGTAATGATATCAGGATGTGTTACATCCATTGGTTTGGCATGTATCAACTCAGCAAACAATTCATAGAATTCATCTTGATCTATATCAGTTTTAAATAATTTGTTAAGGAAATTCTTAATATAGTATGGGTTTTCTTGAGAAATTTCCGTGATTTTATTCAACAACAAATCTGAATCGATGTTCTCTGGAATCACCACTTCATTAATAGGAACCCTTTGGAACAGATTATTGATTAAACGATCCATTGATGCTGTCCTTTCAAGTTGTTCTCGCTTGATCAACTTTTCGTTTCAAGTGCGATCCAATTTTCAAATTTTCATTTGGTGGTAGAGCGAAATTAAATTACTGGTGATGAACATATTTAGAGTCAAAGTTTTCAAAACATCTACGAAGAATATTCAAATTGGTACTGGATAACGTCAGTCAGGCTTTAGCTTCATTCAAAGTATGGTCCCACACTAATCTTTGGATTTGAACTACATGGAAAATGAGTTTTTTGAAAGAGAACATTGATACCAACATTAAGAGCGCATTGATTTTGGACAGAAAACAATTGAGGATGGATTAAGAGTTAGTTGATGAGGTAAATAATCTGGTACTATAAAATGATGCGTTGACCCTTTAATATTTTGAGTTGTTCATCAACCTTTCAGTTCTTATATTATCACCAAATAGCTAAAGTTAGAACGCCAAATAATGATTGATATGTATCCCTTGCCCGCAAGTTTTGAAGAAGCTTTACCTATCGAGATTCAAGCCTTGATTCTTTATTGTTTAAAACCAGAAGACCTTTACAGGTTGGTTGAAGCTTTCCCAAGTATTGTTCCTCTTTTCATTGATAGATTTAAGGTTATTACAAATGATCCAACTAATCCACGTTATCGAAGTGTTCCAAATGTTATTGATGCGTCAAAAATGATTCGTCATTCCAATGATGTACCATTGAGTAAATCTAGAGGTGTAACAATTGTGGAATGTCACGATGTTACTGAAGATTATTTTTGTGAAGATTTTATACATCTTATTTATGCTATCAGTTCGAAAAAACGTAATAAAAATCTTCCCTCTGATGATAAATTGAATCTCAAAATCACAATTCACGGTATAAATTATGATGAGTCATGTCTTGAGAATTCAATCAATAGATTTTTAGATCTTACAAACGATAAAACGGTGACTTATCTTAATGTTCCAGATGTTGAGTACATTGCTGATTTGGAGGATACTGATTGGGATCCAGATTGTGTTGAACCTTTCAAAAGCTTAGAAAGAGCCAATATCAACACTGTTTATGATTTTCCAAGTCACATATTTCCAAAATTAGAGTGTTTGGAGTTAAATCTTGTTGATGATGATCTTGTGATGAGAAATGAAGATAAGTTTCCTGAATCTGTGAGTTTCAATTATGGTATGAATAAATTTACTTTAAAATCATGGATGTGTTCAAAAATTCAAAATTTACGTATTCGTTGCCCTGAAAATGTTAGAGGTGTTTTAGAACTTAAAGACTTGAATTTTCCAAATTTGAAAGTCCTTGAAATTTATCATAAGAATGATGGTCATGGTGATCGTGCAATTCATAATGTTTCGTTAACTAATATTAATGCTCCACAATTACAATGGTTTCAATTTGATTCACCCTTAACTGATCTTATACTTGACAATTTCCAAGCAAATGATTTGGAAGAAATTACATTACATTCACGTACCTTAACTACGAACCCAGAAACTCCAACACGATTCCCAAAATTAAAAAAATACAACATGAATTAATAGATTATTAACGTTTTTATATAATATTCTTTATATACTCAAGGACCACGGTTTTATTAAGCTCCAAGTATATTCTCACTGCACAAAGATGCAGATTTCATAGTTTATATTAATCATCTTCGCAAATAGATAACATATTCTGTATATTTTGAAACTTGTATCACTTTTGTAGAACCATAAAATATAAATTTCGATCGTAAAAGTATGTGCTCTTTACCCTTTGTAAATTAAATTAAGAGTGGTTAAGAGCACGGTTCTTTGAACGGATATATGCTTTTTTGAGTTGTTTATTCCTAAATATCTCTACAAACCATCTAGAAACTCGTCATAATGAGCTTTTCTGTTGTTCAACGTTCACTATGTGATCAGGCTGCGCTCATATTGTGAGAACTTTATTTGCTAATATACCGCACATGCTCGATTCAATGAGATCATATTCTAAGGGCGGACAGCTAATATTACATGAGCTTCAGACATCAGCTTGAAACATCTCAATTCTAAGTGCGCATATTTATGAGAGTGAATTTGAACAAACATATATAAAGAATTTCATTGTACATTTCAAACTCACATAGATACAAATCAGCAGTTTATTTCAGACATACTAAGCCTTTTGTGGCGACAATTAAAGAATAATTACAATTTACAATCAAAAAAACTGATATCAATAAAACTGATATCCAAAAAATTTATCAAAATTTACATAGATGTACCCAATTGAACATCTACCCATTGAGCTACATCAGAACATTTTAGACCAACTACACCCTAAAGAATTATCAAAGATTATGAAAGTTTTCAAGAGGTGGCGACCCACATTTTATCATAATTACATCGTTATTTCAAATAGAGAAGAAGACTCTGATTTTGCAAGCTGTCGAAATTTAACAGATTTGCCCGATCCTGACTACTATACTTATCTTGAGGAGATGGTATCAATTAACACTAAGTTGAAAACATTTAATGGTATCGTGATTTTGGAGTATGAAGGAGATAGTTTATGTGGTATCCAAGTCATTGTAAGAATAATTCAACAAGCTTGGATGGAAGCACATTTAGAGAATTTGAAGTTTATGGTTTCAATTTATCAGTTTAAAGGTTCTCGTTCGGACGATTTTCTGGGAATCGTTTCTGCACTTTACAATTTGACTAGTGGAAAGAGAGCCCCAATAATTTATCTAAATATGGGACAACTTAAAAGCTGGGCATTAACAAATACTAGATACAATTTAAGTGCTTTACAACCATTCATTAATGTTAAGCATGTCTATCTCCATAAATCAGATTGTACATTGAAAGGTAAAATGTTTCCAAGATTGGATACGGTTAAAGTTATACGGCCAACCACATTTGAAATTGACGAATTACAAGCATCACCTTATCTGATCTATCTTTGTGGAATACCGAAACCTATTACATTAAATTCATCTATTTCTGAACACTTGGAAGAGTTAACTATAACTTGTGAATCAGCAAATTATGGGAGGACTACTTTATTGAATTGTGAATTTCCAAAATTGCGGACACTTACGATAAAGGCAAATTCAAACTTTGTTGACCCATTATCATGTGTGATTTCTAACGTCAAAGCACCAGTGCTAAGATCGTTTCTTGTCCATGAAGCTCATGCTATAGATCTTTATATTGAAGAGTTTGATGCACCAAAATTACTAGAATTAGACATTACTACTCGTTCTTTGACAATTAAAGGTGACAACCCATATTACTTCCCAAGTCTCAATTCGTTCAGTCTTGAAATTTTTGATTTTGAAGATAACAGAGGAATCACTGGGTCTTTGAATATTGGACCAAATATTGGTTATTCATTTTTAGAAAATTGTGAGAATGGTGAAATATTTCGTAATGCGCGTCATATCTTGGGAGGGTTGAATATGAAACGAATCAATTCACTTTACATTGAAGTTGCTTCAGGTTTAGATACACATTTATGTTCAAACATCAAATTTCCTTGTTTAAGCATGTTGACACTAGGTTTAACGGGTAATGGAGAAGTTGAGTTACCGACGTTGGAAGTGCCATACCTATACCATTTTAAAGTCACAGGGCTCAAGCCTGTTGCAACAAATTTGAATGTTTTATTGAACAAATACAAATCCGTTAGAAGACTTGAAATTTGCTCATTAAGTAATAACATCACTCTTGAAAATATTTGTCTTCCTAAATTAGAGAGATTGAGGATTGAGATTCCAAGCAGGAAGGATTTCAGTATGTTGGATTGTCAATTTAACAATATTGATACACTAATTGTTCAGGAAAAGAAAAATACACTTTCAGATTTTGATGACTTCGATGATGAATTCAATTTAAAGGGTACAGGAGTCAACTTCAGCGGAACGTGTATCGAGTCATTGACCTCACTTTCATTAGTAGGATTCTTTGTCTTTGATATACCCAAAATTAATCCAGATATAGCACCAAAATTGAGATTTTTAGAAGTTGATGGAGTCTCACATTCAAGTCATAAGTCTACTGGAACAATCTGGAGTAATAGATTCACTGAGGCTATCTTGAATTCTCATTAGATATCTTCTTAGCGAAAATTAAGTCCTGGGAACGACAGTAAATTATGATCTGTATTTATACATTTAAAATCTATTTATTTATCAACGACATCATTCAACGCGTAGCATATGGTACTTACTCTCCGAGTAAATCCGAAATGAAGAAGATTGTATATAATGGCGTGAATGA